CAGTATGCTATTAAGCTGAGTTAAAATTTTTGATGACGGGTTTGGGATCGAGCTGAAGATATGTACATATGTAGGAATGATTATTGATTTTACCACTGTTATTCTGCCAAGTAAAGAAAGATCTCTTTTGGTCCAGAATTTCAATTTACGTTCAGTGTCTTTTAATTTATTAGAATAGATCAATCTTTCCATATCTTCCAAGTTCAGAGAGAAAACTATTCCTAACAGTTTGAAGTTCCTTGTAGACCATGACAGGTTAAGATCAGCACAGATTTTTTGTTCTGAAAACTTTTTGCTACCTAACCAATAAACATTAGATTTTAAAACATTAATTTTCAGACCTGATATGACAGCAAATAACCTTATTACTTCAACAGTTGCATACAATGATTGACTTGAGCCATCTAGTAAAAGATATGCATCATCTGCATACTGACCTAGGAGGAAAGTTTTACCACCTATTTGTAGAGGTTTAACATCAGGATTAGTTTTTAGATATATAGATAAAATTATTTCAACACCTATAATAAAAATATATGGTGACAATGGGTCGCCTTGGCGACAACCACGGTGAAGAAGTTTGACAGATGACCATTATTAATTACACAACTTTTTGAATCCTTATATAAAACTCTAAACCATTTTCTAATAGATTCACCGAAATTAAAACTTTCCATGGCCTTATCAATGAAATCCCATTCTATCGAATCAAATGCTTTTTCGAAATCAATTAGATACAATAGTCCAGGCTTATTTTTTTCTTCCAAGAGCTGCATTAAATCATAAAGTTGTCTAGTGTTTTCCCCAATAAACCTACCCTTAATGAACCCAGTTTGAGTATTGCTTATGATATCCGGTAATAATGGCTTAATCCTATTTGCGATTGCAGCAGCTGCTATTTTATAATCAACATTTAGTAACGATATGGGTCTCCATTTTTTTATATACCTTCTATCCCTTCCCTCTTTTGGCAAGCATGTAATAATACCTTGACATTGAAAGTCTGAGAGTTTCCCATTTTCATATGCATAATTTACTGACCTACAAAGCAGAGTTCCTAAATCACGCCAAAAAAATTTGTAAAATTCTGCCCCAAACCCATCTGACCCTGGACTCTTCCCATTATCCATGTGTTTAAGAGCTTTCGCCAATTCATCTAAATTCAGTAATCCCTGACAACTCCTTTTCTGTCCTTCATTCAACTTAACTGTATGATTAAAAAAATCTGAGTTATCAATACCCTGTGGCCCTCTGTCAGATTTGTATAGATCACCGAAAAAGTTTGCCTCCTCCTGTAAAATATCCTCCACATCATCAAGAACATTACCGGACTCTGTAATTAGTTCAAAAATAGTTTTGTTAATGTAATTTCTTTTTTCTAAATTGCAAAAGTAATTAGTATTTTTCTCACCATCTTCATACCATGATGCTTTAGATCTGAACATAACACCCTTTATCTTATCCCTATGAATTTCTTCCAATGTCTGTTTTTTGTTTTCCAATTCTGTAAGAGAGTCTGTAGAGGGGTATTTATTGATAATTTCTTCTAATTTGATAATATCACTCACTAGAGCATTCTCCTGTCTGTTTCTATTCTCAACCTTATTTACAGAGAAAAAAATAGTTAGTGTACGTATTTTCATTCGTGTATAGGACAGTCATTCATCCTACATACCACACCCAAGGCCACGGACATCTCGTGTATAGGTCGACACTCATCCTACATACCACTACCCAAGGCCACGGATATCTCGTGTATAGGTCGACACTCATCCTACATACCACGACCCAAGGCCACTGACATCTCGTGTATAGGACAGTCATTCATCCTACATACCACGACCCAAGGCCACGGACATCTCGTGTATAGGACAGTCATTCATCCTACATACCACGACCCAAGGCCACGGACATCTCGTGTATAGGTCGACACTCATCCTACATACCACGACCCAAGGCCACGGACATCTCGCTTATAGGTCGACACTCATCCTACATACCACGACCCAAGGCCACGAACATCTCGTGTATAGGACAGTCATTCATCCTACATACCATGACCCAAGGCCACGGACATCTCGTGTATAGGACAGTCACTCATCCTACATACCACGACCCAATGCCACGGACATCTCGTGTATAGGACAGTCATCCTACATACCACGACCCAATGCCACGGACATCTCGTGTATAGGACAGTCATCCTACATACCACGACCCAAGGCCACGGACATCTTGCTTACAGGTCGACACTCATCCTACATACCACTACCCAAGGCCACGGACATCTCGCTTATAGGTCGACACTCATTCTACATACCACGACCCAAGGCCACGGACATCTCGTGTATAGGTCGACACTCATCCTACATACCACTACCCAAGACTCACGGACATCTCGTGTATAGGAGAGTCACTCATCCTACATACCACGACCCAAGGCCACGTACATCTCGCTTATAGGTCGACACTCATCCTACATACCACGACCCAAGGCCACGGACATCTCGTGTATAGGTCGACACTCATCCTACATACCACGACCCAAGGCCACGGACATCTCGTGTATAGGACAGTCATTCATCCTACATACCACGACACAATGCCACGGACATCTCGTGTATAGGACAGTCATCCTTACATACCACTACCCAAGGCCACGGACATCTCGTGTATAGGTCGACACTCATCCTACATACCACTACCCAAGACTCACGGACATCTCGTGTATAGGACAGTCACTCATCCTACATACCACGACCCAAAGCCACGGACATCTCGTGTATAGGACAGTCATTCATCCTACATACCACGACCCAAGGCCACGGACATCTCGCTTATAGGTCGACACTCATCCTACATATCACGACCCAAGGCCACGGACATCTCGTGTATACGACAGTCATCCTACATACCACGACCCAAAGCCACGGACATCTCGTGTATAGGATAGTCATTCATCCTGCATACCACGAACCAAGGCCACGGACATCTCGCTTATAGGTCGACACTCATCCTACATATCACGACCCAAGGCCACGGACATCTCGTGTATAGCACAGTCATCCTACATACTACTACCCAAGGCCACGGACATCTCGTGTATAGGTCGACACTCATCCTACATACCACGACCCAAGGCCACGGACATCTCGTGTATAGGACAGTCATTCATCCTACATACCACGACTCAATGCCACGGACATCTCGTGTATAGGACAGTCATCCTACATACCACTTCCCAAGACTCACGGACATCTCGTGTATAGGACAGTCACTCATCCTACATACCACGACCCAAAGCCACGGACATCTCGTGTATAGGACAGTCATTCATCCTACATACCACGACCCAAGGCCACGGACATCTCGCTTATAGGTCGACACTCATCCTACATATCACGACCCAAGGCCACGGACATCTTGTGTATAGGACAGTCATCCTACATACCACGACCCAAGGCCACGGACATCTCGTGTATAGGATAGTCATTCATCCTGCATACCACGACCCAAGGCCACGGACATCTCGCTTATAGGTCGACACTCATCCTACATATCACGACCCAAGGCCACGGACATCTCGTGTATAGCACAGTCATCCTACATACTACTACCCAAGGCCACGGACATCTCATGTATAGGTCGACACTCATCCTACATACCACGACCCAAGGCCACGGACATTTCGACACTCATCCTACATACCACTACCCAAGGCCACGGACATCTCGTGTATAGGTCGACACTCGTCCTACATACCACGACCCAAGGCCACGGACATCTCGTGTATAGGTCGACACTCATCCTACATACTACTACCCAAGGCCACGGACATCTCGTGTATAGGTCGACACTCATCCTACATACCACGACCCAAGGCCATTGACATCTCGTGTATAGGACAGTCACTCATCCTACATACCACACCCATGGCCACGGACATCTCGTGTATAGGACAGTCACTCATCCTACATACCACTACCCAAGGCCACGGACATCTCGTGTATAGGTCGACACTTGTCCTACATACCACTACCCAAGGCCACGGACATCTCGTGTATAGGTCGACACTCATCCTACATACCACGACCCAAGGCAATTGACATCTCGTGTATAGGTCGACACTCATCCTACATACCACGACCCAAGGCCACGGACATCTCGTGTATAGGTCGACACTCGTCCTACATACCACGACCCAAGGCCACTGACATCTCGTGTATAGGTCGACACTCAGACACTGTTTGATTAGATTTTATATAATAAATATTTGTTCAGATTTATGTGAGAATTAAATAGAAAAATTGATATAGGTTTTTTTTAATTTTATTTTATGTCATAAATTGGGCGAATTTAGTGAGTTGTCGGTTAACATAATAAATGGGGAGAATTAAATTTACAAAATAAATGAAGGGATTTTAATTTTATAATAAATGTGGAGAGTTAAGTTTATATAACAAAGTGGGAGATTTTTGTAAGATTTTACTTGACATTATAAACGGGGAGGTATTAGTTTTTTAGTGTACATAATGACGAGAGAGATTTTAGTGTACATAATGACGAGAGAGATTTTAGTGTACATAATGACGAGAGAGATTTTAGTGAGATTATAATTTACATAATAAATGTTGAGATTTTAGTTACATTTTGGTTTAAATAATAGACTTTGAGATTTTATTGATATTTTAGTTTAGATAATAAACGAGGAGATTTTTGTTTACATAATTAATGGGGAGAGTTTAGTTTACATAATTAATGGGGAGAGTTTAGTTTACATAAAATATGGGGACATTTTCGTTTACATAATAAACGAGGACATTTTCGTTTACATAATAAACGAGGACATTTTAGTTTACATAATAAACGAGAATGTTTTAGTTTACATAATAAATGGGGAGATTTTATTGAGATTTTAGTGTATATAAAACATGAAGTGGTGTTCAGGTCATTACTACAGGTGACATGCGCCATCTTATACAAAGAAAGACAACTCTAGGTAACGTTCCATAACATTAAGTCGGATTTTAATGTATATAACATAAATATGATAACAAGTTATATGTAGCTTTTGTTCTGGAGATGAGAAAGAGTTTCGCTTTTAACAAGTGCAACAAAACATAACAATATGCTGTGGCATTAACTGAATTAGGTCAAACGCTTCCTGGGTATTCACTGCCAGACACGTCGCATCCTCTCTTTGATTAAATATTTTGATTAGAATTTGTGTGAGAGACACTTGCACTAGAAGTGCTAAAAACTTTGAAGAGGCTGCCATACACTTGACGGTCAAAATGATACAAAACTTATATGTATTTCACAAATGTCAGGAAATTTTGTTAACAACACCACCCGTAACGGAGTGGGCACGTGCGGTATGCGGGAGAGAACTCTGACACGTGCATGCTCTCGGAGGTCCATTCTGGGTTAATACTGAAGTCTCGATGAGGGACGTACTTCTTGTTGTCATAGAAACAGCTTTTTGATGAGAAGATATAGGGGTCTCGATCGTCCCAGATTGCGGGAGGTGCTTGGTAGTCGTTCGAAATGGCTAAATCGATACGATCTGGAACGACCCTGAAAGTGGTATAGAGAAATGCAAATCATTACAGTGTCAACAGTTCCAATCACTCGTTAATTAAAAACATAGACATAGTGACGTATAAATGTTCCATTTGGGACAAAGACACGCCCATCGTCCAACCTTAGGTGTATTTCTCATTTTGTATTCCTGAAGTCGTGTATGTTGATGTAGTGTCATTAACATACATGGTGCTGTTACATTTAAAATTCCATGCAACGAATAAAAGCAACCTATTGAGAGGTGTTCATGTTTTAAAAAACTAACTACGTTGGAAAAAAAATAAAAGGAAAAATAAAGCTGAAACATGCGAAGATTTAGAAGCTAATGGGCTAATGGGCTTAAGCTTCTGGTGTAGTGGATCTGTTTCACATACGTTTAATATACGTTACCTTTCTCATGATACACAATGATATCATCTAAAATTAAGTAAAAGCAATTAGTTGAACGGGTATGGAAACCAAATTTGATTATCACAACTTACAAAATGTAATACCCGAAATTACTTTGCTGTCTTTAAAATAGTGTATTTTGAAATGAATTGTTTGAAACGCCGCGTTTAAGATTTTTTTCCTGTGATATATATAGAATACAAAAGCAGGATTTCTACACGTCTTCAAAACGAAACCAAGTGTGATTTTCCTGGCAAGCCTAGGTTGTCACATGAACAAAGCTCCCGAAAATAGTGTTCTTTTTGTCCCTGTATTCCTAATCGCTTTTAAGAATTCGGACGTGCTAAATCCGTTACGGTTTTGAGGTTTTTGTGTAGACTTGTAAAGCTTGTTTTTAGTCTGTGGTATTTATCAATTTATTTCCGTTCTTTTCTGTGCATGATGTTAATCTGTATGCGTGGTACCAACAGGCTTTTTTTTATTCACATTACTTTATATAGATAAATTTTATATCTCCTCGAAAAATTGATGATATCACGACAGTAGTGGTTCTCCTAATACTGAGAACATTCTGTTTTTGTATTTGTGTACATCGGAAAAAATCGCATATTTCAATAATACCAAACCCTGTAACCCACGCCCCAAGCACAAATAAACACACACACACACCCTCACACACACACACACTCACACAAACGATAGAATTAGAATTGAAATAGAAAACCTGAATCCGTTTCATGACTTTAATGAAAAATTGATACAGTTTGCTAGTTTGGTGAATATATATACCAGGTCTATTTACCAACGTAAGTCGTCCACTGTAGACAAATGTGATACTTAAACGTCACCATTTACTTACTTTTTTACTTGTCTCTCCCAGAAATCCATACTCCGGGTAGCATAGTTCCGCCTTTTATCTGATTCGATGAACTGTGGAATGGGGTCAAACGTTCTGTTTAATGCTTTAAATGTCGGTAGCTTTATCCGAGATTCAAATGGACGTCTACGCCTCGCTGGGCTTCTTAGTGGATGCTGGAATTCGGTCGGTGGTTCCTTCCGTCTCAGCGAGGGGGCAGGGCTCGAAACCAATTGAGGGAGTGTAAGAGATCTTTGCAATTTAGGTCGAGTTTCTGTCAGCTTATGCTGTGTTAAATCACTGTTTTCTGTAGAAAAACAAAAACAAAAAATATTACATTCCAACTGATGTAAATGAAGTGAAGTTCCAGAGTCATTTGTTTCAAGAGGTTGTTTGAAATCGTAGAAAATATCAAATTTGTCATTAAACATCACTTTAAAAAAAATGTATACGGGAAAAAATGAATGAACTTATGTTTACAGGTGAGGAAACATCTGTGTAGGTAATGAATGAATTTATGTTTACAGGTAAGGAGATATCTGTGTAGGTAATGAATGAATTTATGTTCAGATAAGGAGATATCTGTGTAGGTAATGAATGAATTTATGTTCAGATAAGGAGATATCTGTGTAGGTAATGAATGAATTTATGTTCAGATAAGGAGATATCTGTGTAGGTAATGAATGAATTTATGTTTACAGGTTAGGAGATATCTGTGTAGGTAATGAATGAATTTATGTTTACAGGTAAGGAAATATATGTGTAGGTAATGAATGAATTTATGTTTACAGGTAAGGAAATATATGTGTAGGTAATGAATGAATTTATGTTCAGGTAAGGAGATATCTGTGTAGGTAATGAATGAATTTATGTTCAGATAAGGAGATATCTGTGTAGGTAATGAATGAATTTATGTTTACAGGTTAGGAGATATCTGTGTAGGTAATGAATGAATTTATGTTTACAGGTAAGGAAATATATGTGTAGGTAATGAATGAATTTATGTTTACAGGTAAGGAAATATATGTGTAGGTAATGAATGAATTTATGTTTACAGGTAAGGAAATATATGTGTAGGTAATGAATGAATTTATGTTCAGGTAAGGAGATATCTGTGTAGGTAATGAATGAATTTATGTTCAGGTAAGGAGATATCTGTGTAGGTAATGAATGAATTTATGTTTACAGGTAAGGAGATATCTGTGTAGGTAATGAATGAATTTATGTTCAGATAAGGAGATATCTGTGTAGGTAATGAATGAATTGATGTTTACAGCTAAGGATATATCTGTGTAGGTAATGAATGAATTTATGTTTACAGCTAAGGAGATATCTGTGTAGGTAATGAATGAATTGATGTTTACAGCTAAGGAGATATCTGTGTAGGTAATGAATGAATTTATGTTTACAGGTTAGGAGATATCTGTGTAGGTAATGAATGAATTTATGTTTACAGGTAATGAGATATCTGTGTAGGTAATGAATGAATTAATGTTCAGATAAGGAGATATCTGTGTAGGTAATGAATGAATTTATGTTCAGATAAGGAGATATCTGTGTAGGTAATGAATGAATTTATGTTTACAGGTAAGGAGATATCTGTGTAGGTAATGAATGAATTTATGTTCAGATAAGGAGATATCTGTGTAGGTAATGAATGAATTGATGTTTACAGCTAAGGAGATATCTGTGTAGGTAATGAATGAATTTATGTTTACAGCTAAGGAGATATCTGTGTAGGTAATGAATGAATTTATGTTCAGATAAGGAGATATCTGTGTAGGTAATGAATGAATTGATGTTTACAGCTAAGGAGATATCTGTGTAGGTAATGAATGAATTTATGTTTACAGGTAAGGAAATATATGTGTAGGTAATGAATGAATTTATGTTCAGGTAAGGAGATATCTGTGTAGGTAATGAATGAATTTATGTTTACAGCTAAGGAGATATCTGTGTAGGTAATGAATGAATTTATGTTTACAGCTAAGGAGATATCTGTGTAGGTAATGAATGAATTGATGTTTACAGCTAAGGAGATATCTGTGTAGGTAATGAATGAATTGATGTTTACAGGTAAGGAAACATCTGTGTAGGTAATGAATGAATTTATGTTTACAGGTAATGAAATATCTGTGTAGGTAATGAATGAATTTATGTTTACAGGTTAGGAGATATCTGTGTAGGTAATGAATGAATTTATGTTCAGATAAGGAGATATCTGTGTAGGTAATGAATGAATTTATGTTCAGGTAAGGAGATATCTGTGTAGGTAATGAATGAATTTATGTTTACAGGTAATGCGATATCTGTGTAGGTAATGAATGAATTTATGTTTACAGGTAAGGAGATATCTGTGTGGGTAATGAATGAATTTATGTTTACAGGTAAGGAGATATCTGTGTAGGTAATGAATGAATTTATGTTCAGATAAGGAGATATCTGTGTAGGTAATGAATGAATTTATGTTTACAGATAAGGAGATACATATTATAAATTTTCTGTTTTCTGTGAAGACTATTAGAATGTCCTCGATGTTGCCTACCTTTCCTAACCTTTCCCAGTCCTGTTAAGGCTGTGTTTTCTGATCGCTCTCCGTTTGGTATCATTTCAATATCTTCCTGTAACAGCTACAAGTCGTTCACACATAAAACAAAAAATCTTCCTCCATATCAAAACTCATTTCTATGACGATCTTATCATTAATCACCCCAACAATTATTGCAACATGCATTGCCTCGACCAATCCAAATTTCACATTGTGATTTTCCGTGTTGACACATGGATCAGTACAAGCTTGTCCTTAATATCAGAAGTGTCGTAATCAATTTCTACGGTAAATTAATACTAAATCGAGAATCATTTGTAACCAAAGAGACGACTGGTGTCGTATGAAGGAGCTCTGAATGGCCGAGACATTTTACTTCGGGCAAAATAGTTGCCTGTGTAATTTATGAATAACACTTAGACAGAAGAAAGTATAGCCTGTGATGTGTTACAAAGTGAATTGGAATTAAACTGATGAACACATCGATACAAATATTACCCTTGTGTTACTCATTAATCTACTCCAATCGCTGTAGTCAGCCTTGGTATACGATTACCCGGGTTTTTAAAGAGCAGTGAATATCTGACCAACAACAGGCGAATGTGGACAGAGTACTTGTTTCACAACAGACAAAACAACTAATATAAAGGAATCATTTCTGTCCGTAGAGTATGATAGATATTGTGGCACATTTCTGTCCGTAGAGTATGATAGATATTAACTGAGTGGCACATTTCTGTCCGTAGAGTATGATAGATATTGTGGCACATTTCCGTCCGTAGAGTATGATAGATATGAACTGAGTGGCACATTTCTGTCCGTAGAGTATGATAGATATTGAGTGGCACATTTCTGTCCGTAGAGTATGATAGATATTAACTGAGTGGCACATTTCTGTCCGTAGAGTATGATAGATATGAAGTCAGTGGCACATTTCTGTCCGTAGAGTATGATAGATATTGAGTGGCACATTTCTGTCTGTAGAGTATGATAGATATTGAGTGGCACATTTCTGTCTGTAGAGTATGATAGATATTGAGTGGCACATTTCTGTCCGTACAGTATGATAGATATTGAGTGGCACATTTCTGTCTGTAGAGTATGATAGATATTGAGTGGCACATTTCTGTCCGTAGAGTATGATAGATATTGAGTGGCACATTTCTGTCTGTAGAGTATGATAGATATTGTGGCACGTTTCTGTCCGTAGAGTATGATAGATATTGAGTAGCACATTTCTGTCCGTAGAGTATGATAGATATTGAGTGGCACATTTCTGTCTGTAGAGTATAATAGATATTGTGGCACGTTTCTGTCCGTAGAGTATGATACATATGAACTCAGTGGCACATTTCCGTCCGTAGAGTATGATAGATATGAACTCAGTGGCACATTTCTGTCTGTAGAGTATGATAGATATGAACTGAGTGGCACATTTCTGTCCGTAGAGTATGATAGATATGAACTGAGTGGCACATTTCTGTCCGTAGAGTATGATAGATATGAACTGAGTGGCACATTTCTGTCCGTAGAGTATGATAGATATGAACTGAGTGGTACATTTCTGTCCGTAGAGTATGATAGATATGAACTGAGTGGCACATTTCTGTCCGTAGAGTATGATAGATATGAACTGAGTGGCACATTTCTGTCTGTAGAGTATGATAGATATGAACTGAGTGGCACATTTCTGTCCGTAGAGTATGATAGATATGAACTGAGTGGCACATTTCTGTCTGTAGAGTATGATAGATATGAACTGAGTGACACATTTCTGTCCGTAGAGTATGATAGATATGAACTGAGTGGTACATTTCTGTCCGTAGAGTATGATAGATATGAACTCAGTGGTACATTTCTGTCCGTAGAATATGATAGATATGAACTGAGTGGCACATTTCTGTCCGTAGAATATGATAGATATGAACTCAGTGGCACATTTCTGTAAATGTTTTAGATGTATTCAGTTCCTAACTAACGGCACGAAAGTGACGATAGACTTCGGACATTCTACAAAACGTTAACTTAAAAAACAAAATATAACAAATTGCTAACCTATCAGAAACTTACTCATGTAAAAGATAATGATGAGGTTCTCGAAAAATTAACACTTCAAAGTGAACATACCATTCTTTGTTGAACCTTATAACTTCCGGTCGAAGTATTTCGTCGTCGTCATCACTAATACTGAATGCGACAGAACCACGGCAGACCGTTCAGGCCAAATCGTAGCGCACAGGTTATGATAAATATGATATACGATATGAATATACTATATGTCGACTATGACAGGTTAAACACCCACGATGGCGGAGTAACTCACCCAACACAAACCACGGGTCAGTGAACTAGACATAATATCTTTCGCGAGTGGATACACTATGTTCGGGGGATCAGTTGTGTTTATAAAACAAATCGCTGTCAGACGTACATATAATGATTTAACCATTATGCTATGCTGTCATAGTTAGGTCCCTGACAATAGGACGGACCCATATCTTAAGGGACATTTGAACTCCCTCGTACAACAAGTCACACTTCTCCTCATATCAGACATCGACTCGTAACTGACAACTAACAACGTCCAACATTCCTGAAAAATAAACTCTAACAAAACTTACAGATAATAGAGAAAAAGGCACGGAAACAGAGGAAAATAAAGGAAAAACTCACGTCGATGAGGCGAAGTTTGCTGGTGCACGAGATCTTTAACTATGTAACCTGATATGAAGATATTAACTGTCTGGCAAACACACCACCTACTTACGATAACTTGGAGTCATTACTGGCCGTAAGTGGAACGAGGACATTATATATCAATAACAAAGGGCGGCTATATTAAAATCCAAATTCTTTATAACACTTTATACCGAACAAATAAAAAGTTGGCTAAGATTGTAGACTCCGGTGTATATAATTAATCCCCTACCATGTTGTTGTATCGTTAAATAAGGTATTATCTCCTGTAAAAACATATAATTCTCAATAATACACACGGATTTGACTAATTCTTTTCTTATATGTACAGTTCAGCCTTTCATGTGTTTAAAAAGGCAGGTAAATTTTCTTAACAAGTAATATAACAAGAAATAATACATGATATTGAAGGGGAACGGGTAGTTTGTATTGTATAATACTTGGTATTGAACACGAGATGGTTGGTGTATTACACTGTCTGTATAGTTTGTATTGTATAATACTTGGTATTGAACACGAGATGGTTGGTGTATTACACTGTCTGTATAGTTTGTATTGTATAATACTTGGTATTGAACACGACAGGGTTGGTGTATTACACTGTATAGTTTGTATTGTATAATACTTGGTATTGAACACGACAGGGTTGGTGTATTACACTGTCTGTATAGTTTGTATTGTATAATACTTGGTATTGAACACGACAGGGTTGGTGTATTACACTGTTTGTATAGTTTGTATTGTATAATACTTGGTATTGAACACGACAGGGTTGGTGTATTACACTGTATAGTCTGTATTGTATAATACTTGGTATTGAACACGAGAGGGTTGGTGTATTACACTGTCTGTATAGTTTGTATTGTATAATACTTGGTATTGAACACGACAGGGTTGGTGTATTACACTGTCTGTATAGTTTGTATTGTATAATACTTGGTATTGAACACGACAGGGTTGGTGTATTACACTGTATAGTTTGTATTGTATAATACTTGGTATTGAACACGACAGGGTTGGTGTATTACACTGTATAGGTTGTATTGTATAATACTTGATATTGAACACGACAGGGTTGGTGTATTACACTGTCTGTATAGTTTGTATTGTATAATACTTGGTATTGAACACGACAGGGGTGGTGTATTACACTGTCTGTATAGTTTGTATTGTATAATACTTGATATTGAACACGACAGGGTTGGTGTATTACACTGTATAGTTTGTATTGTATAATACTTGGTATTGAACACGACAGGGTTGGTGTATTACACTGTCTGTATATTTTGTATTGTATAATATTTGGTATTGAACACGACAGGGTTGGTGTATTACACTGTCTGTATAGTTTGTATTGTATAATACTTGGTATTGAACACGACAGGGTTGGTGTATTACACTGTCTGTATAGTTTGTATTGTATAATACTTTGTATTGAACACGACAGGGTTGGTGTATTACACTATATAGTTTGTATTGTATAATACTTGGTATTGAACACGACAGGGTTGGTGTATTACACTGTATAGTTTGTATTGTATAATACTTGGTATTGAACACGACAGGGTTGGTGTATTACACTGTATAGTTTGTATTGTATAATACTTGGTATTGAACACGACAGGGTTGGTGTATTACACTATATAGGTTGTATTGTATAATACTTGATATTGAACACGACAGGGTTGGTGTATTACACTGTCTGTATAGTTTGTATTGTATAATACTTGGTATTGAACACGACAGGGTAGGTGTATTACACTGTCTGTATAGTTTGTATTGTATAATACTTGGTATTGAACACGACAGGGTTGGTGTATTACACTGTCTGTATAGTTTGCATTGTATAATACTTGGTATTGAACACGACAGGGTTGGTGTATTACACTGTCTGTATAGTTTGTATTGTATAATACTTGGTATTGAACACGACAGGGTTGGTGTATTACACTGTCTGTATAGTTTGTATTGTATAATACTTGATATTGAACACGACAGGGTTGGTGTATTACACTGTCTGTATAGTTTGCATTGTATAATATTTGGTATTGAACACGACAGGGTTGGTGTATTACACTGTCTGTATAGTTTGTATTGTATAATACTTGGTATTGAACACGACAGAGTTGGTGTATTACACTGTCTGTATAGTTTGTATTGTATAATACTTGATATTGAACACGACAGGGTTGTTGTATTACACTGTCTGTATAGTTTGTATTGTATAATACTTGGTATTGAACACGACAGGGTTGGTGTATTACACTGTCTGTATAGTTTGTATTGTATAATACTTGTTATTGAACACGACAGGGTTGGTGTATTACAATATATAGTTTGTATTGTATAATACTTGGTATTGAACACGACAGTGTTTGTGTATTACACTGTATAGTTTATATTGTATAATATTTGGTATTGAACACGACAGGGTTGTTGTATTACACTGTCTGTATAGTTTGTATTGTATAATACTTGGTATTGAACACGACAGGGTTGGTGTATTACACTGTCTGTATAGTTTGTATTGTATAATACTTGTTATTGAACACGACAGGGTTGGTGTATTACAATATATAGTTTGTATTGTATAATACTTGGTATTGAACACGACAGTGTTTGTGTATTACACTGTATAGTTTATATTGTATAATACTTGGTATTGAACACGACAGAGTAGAAGTATTACACTGTCTGTATAGTTTGTATTGTATAATACTTGGTATTGAACACGACAGGGTTGGTGTATTACACTATATAGTTTGTATTGTATAATACTTGATATTGAACACTACAGGGTTGGTGTATTACACTGTCGTTATAGTTTGTATTGTATAATACTTGGTATTGGACACGACAGGGTTGGTGTATTACACTGTCGTTATTGTTTGTATTGTATAATACTTGGTATTGGACACGACAGGGTTGGTGTATTACACTGTCTGTATAGTTTGTATTGTATAATACTTGGTATTGAACATGACAGGGTTGATGTAATATTACACTGTATAGTTTGTATTGCATACTACTTGATATTAAACACGACAGGGTTGGTGTATTACACTGTATAGTTTGTATTGTATAATACTTGGTATTGAACACGACAGGGTTGGTGAATTACACTGTATAGTTTGTATTGTATAATACTTGGTATTGAACACGACAGGGTTGGTGTATTACACTGTCTATATTGTTTGTATTGTATAATACTTGGTATTGAACACGACAGGGTTGGTGTATTACACTGTCTGTATAGTTTGTATTGTATAATACTTGGTATTGAACACGACAGGGTTGGTGTATTACACTGTCTGTATAGTTTATATTGTATAATACTTGGTATTGAACACGACAGGGTTGTTGTATTACACTGTCTGTATAGTTTGTATTGTATAATACTTGGTATTGAACACGATAGGGTTGGTGTATTACACTGTTTGTATAGTTTGTATTGTATAATACTTGGTATTGAACACGACAGGGTTGGTGTTTTACGATGTATAGTTTGTGTTGCATAATACTTGATATTGAATACGACAGGGTTGGTGTAGTACACTGTATAGTTTGTATTGTATAATACTTGGTATTGAACACGATAGGGTTGGTGTATTACACTGTATAGTTTGTATTGTATAATACTTGGTATTGAACATGACAGGGTTGATGTAATATTACACTGTATAGTTTGTATTGCATACTACTTGATATTAAACACGACAGGGTTGGTGTATTACACTGTATAGTTTGTATTGTATAATACTTGGTATTGAACACGAGAGGGTTGGTGTATTATACTGTCTTTATAGTTTGTATTGTATAATACTTGGTATTGGACACGACAGGGTTGGTGTATTACACTGTCTATATTGTTTGTATTGTATAATACTTGGTATTGAACACGACAGGGTTGGTGTATTACACTGTATAGTTTGTACTGTATAATACTTGGTATTGAACACGACAGGATTTGTGTATTGCTGGATAAATAGTTTATTATGTACATTTCATAATAAAGTACACTTGGATACCATGTATTACATTACAAATGATATATATCTTATGTACCGGTGACAAAGGGGTAACGCCCAGTAGGAGTAAGTGCAAAGGACTTAGTCAAATGCACCCAAGTTGAAGGGAGATAACTCTAACATCAAATTCACACACTTGGTGACCGATTACAAACAACATGTCGGACGGCTATGGTCAGCGTCAGCATATAACAACAGCTGTCGCTTGATCTGACGATCGGTTTCTGTTTTACTTTTCATAATTATATGGTTGCTAGACGTTGCATATTTCCAATGAAACTTCACGTTCCGTTTCAGTTTATCAGAAATACGGAAACCGTTGACTTTGGTCGAATAGCGAAAAACTGGGTTTGACAAGTATCAGAAGAACGGAAATAAGGCACCGGGCTATATATCTAGTTCTCATACAGCCAGGTAGGTAAAATGCACATACTCTTGGCTAATAATCATAAAATGTCACATTCGTTTTTCTTTTTTTCCGGAATTTTTAATCATTGTATAATTGATTATTTCGTGCATGTATAAACTTGGCTTTTTTGTTTCTGACATTTATTATTGACACATGTATGTATGATGACGTCAATCAGATCACTTAACAATTGGTTTAATTAACTCTACTGTGTTGTATACCACATTCAGCACGTGTTAGTTAATAGATCGATTTTATTTCATTCAATCCATAGCTAGTATGGGCTCAACAGTTAATCAGAATATTACTATTAAACTGGTACAATGTACAAAGTGCATATCTTTCTGAGGAAAAGGGGAAACCAACCAAATACTATTGGAGTTCTATCATTACATACATGTTAGGAAACTTTGTGGTTTTCTTTGGCATTGTTACTTTGAATTACTTTCACTAATTAAGCAAAAGGAAAATTTCCACTAGTTCAGGAACCACTGAGCTGTATTTTCAGCTTCTACAAATGTATTGAAATCTATATTTATACATCATAAATACCCAGTTTGGCTAAAATATGACGGTGCCTTACAAGGGCAATGGAAGTTTAAAAGATGCTACTTTTAGTGTTTGAGACAGTACCGTTTTTTAGATAGTTCCAGTCAATGGCTGTGCACAAAAAAATAAAAAAAGCATTTCTGTGTTGTTCACTTTTGCCTGACAGAAATGTGTTCATACCAGATACATATAGGTCTATGTCTCTGTTCATACTAAACGATACAATAAACTGTCTATATTTTCTCAAAGAAATTACTGACAAATAAATACAAGCTCAGACTTGTTCACCAAAAACAGTTTTCAAAAAAAAGTTGTTGCTCCTCCGTTTTCTGTTGACATCACCAAACAACGAATTTGTGGTATCCATGGGTGGTTTTGATTACAATATTTTACAAGGAATGGATTTCTTAACTTTTTTTTTCTATTCGCAAGTTGTAAATGTGATACAGCTACCAAAATCATTTAAGTACAAAGCCGAGCTGGTCAGTTGTGAATTCATGTGATTCCACGTAACAAAATGGTTGTTCTGAAATATATAGTGGTTTTGAATAGAAGTGTAGACAATATTGTCTGGGACTGAAATGTATATTGTATTATATGTCACCTGAGACAGAGATCTCAAGTAACCAAGTCCAATCGCCTATAATTTGTCTGTCATAATTTGTTGTGTGGCTGTAAACAATTTACATTTTTAATTTCTTCTCAGAAACAATTGAACTAATTTTAATGAAACTTTTTAGGTCAAAGCTGCTCCAAAACTGATAGTCCTTCCCACCTACTTCCAGTACATCTCAAACATGGTAGGATAAGTGGTCTGAAAATCACACCTACTTCCAGTACATCTCAAACATGGTAGGATAAGTGGTCTGAAAATCACACCTACTTCCAGTACATCTCAAACCCGTAGGTTAAGTGGTCTGAAAATCACACCTACTTCCAGTACATCTCAAACCCGTAGGTTAAGTTGTCTGAAAATCACACCTACTTCCTGTACATCTCAAACCTGTAGGATAAGTGGTCTGAAAATCACACCTACTTCCTGTACATCTCAAACCTGTAGGATAAGTGGTCTGAAAATCACACCTACTTCCTGTACATCTCAAACCTGTAGGATTACTGATCTGAAAATCACACCTACTTCCTGTACATCTGAAACCTGTAGGTGAGTGGTCTGAAAATCACATCTGCTTCCCGTACATCTCAAACCTGTAGGATGAGTGGTCTGAAAATCACACCTACTTCCAGTACATCTCAAACCTGTAGGATGAGTTGTCTGAAAATCACACCTACTTCCACTAATCTCAAACCTGTTGGATTAGTGGTCTGAAAATCACACCTACTTCCAGTACATCTCAAACCTGTAGGATGAGTGGTCTGAAAATCACACCTACTTCCAGTACATCTCAAACCTGTAGGATGAGTGGTCTGAAAATCACACCTACTTCCCGTACATCTCAAACCTGTAGGGGAGTGGTCTGAAAATCACACCTGCTTCCCATACATCTCAAACCTGTAGGATGAGTGGTCTAAAAATCACACCTACTTCCTGTACACCTCAAACCTGTAGGATGAGTGGTCTGAAAATCACACCTACTTCCTGTACATCTCAGACCTGTAGGATGAGTGGTCTGAAAATCATACCTACATCCTGTACACCTCAAACCTGTAGGATGAGTGGTCTGAAAATCACACCTACTTCCAGTACATCTCAAACCTGTAGGATGAGTGGTCTGAAAATCACACCTACTTCCTGTACATCTCAGACCTGTAGGATGAGTGGTCTGAAAATCATACCTACATCCTGTACACCTCAAACCTGTAGGATGAGTGGTCTGAAAATCACACCTACTTCCAGTACATCTCAAACCTGTAGGATGAGTGGTCTGAAAATCACACCTACTTCCAGTACATCTCAAACCTGTAGGTGAGTGGTCTGAAAATCACACCTACTTCCCATACATCTCAAACCTGTAGGATGAGTGGTCTGAAAATCACACCTACTTCCAGTACATCTCAAACCTGTAGGATGAGTGGTCTGAAAATCACACCTACTTCCTGTACATCTGAAACCTGTAGGATTAATGATCTGAAAATCACACCTACTTCCTGTACATCTCAAACCTGTAGGATTAATGATCTGAAAATCACACCTGTACATCTCAAACCTGTAGGATTAATGATCTGAAAATCACACCTACTTCCTGTACATCTCAAACCTGTAGGATAAGTGGTCTGCAAAATCACACCTACTTACTGTACATCTCAAACCTGCAGGATAAGTGGTCTGAAAATCAAACCTACTTCCTGTACATCTCAAACCTGTAGGTGAGTGGTCTGAAAATCACATCTACTTCCTGTACATCTCAAACCTGTAGGATTAATGATCTGAAAATCACACCTACTTCCTGTACATCTCAAACCTGTAGGTGAGTGGTCTGAAAATCACATCTACTTCCCGTACATCTCAAACCTGTAGGATGAGTGGTCTGAAAATCACATCTACTTCCCGTACATCTCAAACCTGTAGGATGAGTGGTCTGAAAATCACACCTACTTCCCGTACATCTCAAACCTGTAGGATAAGTGGTCTGAAAATCACACCTACTTCTCATACATCTCAAACCTGTAGGATGAGTGGTCTGAAAATCACACCTACTTCCTGTACATCTCAAACCTGTAGGATTAATGGTCTGAAAATCACACCTACTTCCAGTACATCTCAAACCTGTAGGATAAGTGGTCTGAAAATCACACCTACTTCCTGTACATCTCAAACCTGTAGGATAAGTGGTCTGAAAATCACACCTACTTCCTGTACATCTCAAACCTGTAGGATAAGTGGTCTGAAAATCAAACCTACTTCCTGTACATCTCAAACCTGTAGGATTAATGATCTGAAAATCACACCTACTTCCTGTACATCTCAAACCTGTAGGATTAATGCTCTGAAAATCACACCTACTTCCTGTACATCTCAAACCTGTAGGATTAATGACCTGAAAATCACACCTACTTCCTGTACATCTCAAACCTGTAGGATAAGTGGTCTGCAAAATCACACCTACTTCCTGTACATCTCAAACCTGTAGGATAAGTGGTCTGAAAATCAAACCTACTTCCTGTACATCCCAAACCTGTAGGTGAGTGGTCTGAAAATCACATCTACTTCCTGTACATCTCAAACCTGTAGGATTAATGATCTGAAAATCACACCTACTTCCTGTACATCTCAAACCTGTAGTATAAGTGGTCTGCAAAATCACACCTACTTCCTGTACATCTCAAACCTGTAGGATAAGTGGTCTGAAAATCAAACCTACTTCATGTACATCTCAAACCTGTAGGTGAGTGGTCTGAAAATCACATCTGCTTCCCATACATCTCAAACCTGTAGGATGAGTGGTCTGAAAATCACACCTACTTCCAGTACATCTCAAACCTGTAGGATGAGTTGTCTGAAAATCACACCTACTTCCTGTACACCTCAAACCTGTAGGATGAATGGTCTGAAAATCACACCTACTTCCAGTACATCTCAAACCTGTAGGATGAGTGGTCTGAAAATAACACCTACTTCCCATACATCTCAAACCTGTAGGATGAGTGGTCTGAAAATCACACCTACTTCCAGTACATCTCAAACCTGTAGGATGAGTGGTCTGAAAATCACACCTACTTCCTTTACATCTGAAACCTGTAGGATTAATGATCTGAAAATCACACCTACTTCCTGTACATCTCAAACCTGTAGGATTAATGATCTGAAAATCACACCTACTTCCTGTACATCTCAAACCTGTAGGATTAATGATCTGAAAATCACACCTACTTCCTGTACATCTCAAACCTGTAGGATAAGTGGTCTGCAAAATCACACCTACTTCCTGTACATCTCAAACCTGTAGGATAAGTGGTCTGAAAATCAAACCTACTTCCTGTACATCTCAAACCTGTAGGTTAAGTGGTCTGAAAATCACACCTACTTCCTGTACATCTCAAACCTGTAGGATAAGTGGTCTGAAAATCACACCTACTTCATATACATCTCAAACCTGTAGGTAAGTGGTCTGAAAATCACATCTGCTTCCCGTACATCTCAAACCTGTAGGATGAGTGGTCTGAAAATCACACCTACTTCCAGTACATCTCAAACCTGTAGGATGAGTGGTCTGAAAATCACACCTACTTCCTGTACACCTCAAACCTGTAGGATGAGTGGTCTGAAAATCACACCTACTTCCTGAACATCTCAGACCTGTAGGATGAGTGGTCGGAAAATCACACCTACTTTCTGTACACCTCAAACCTGTAGGATGAGTGGTCTGAAAATCACACCTACTTCCAGTACATCTCAAACCTGTAGGATGAGTGGTCTGAAAATAACACCTACTTCCCATACATCTCAAACCTGTAGGATGAGTGGTCTGAAAATCACACCTACTTCCAGTACATCTCAAACCTGTAGGATGAGTGGTCTGAAAATCACACCTACTTCCTGTACATCTGAAACCTGTAGGATTAATGATCTGAAAATCACACCTACTTCCTGTACATCTCAAACCTGTAGGATAAGTGGTCTGCAAAATCACACCTACTTCCTGTACATCTCAAACCTGTAGGATAAGTGGTCTGAAAATCACACCTACTTCCTGTACATCTCAAACCTGTAGGATAAGTGGTCTGAAAATCAAACCTACTTCCTGTACATCTCAAACCTGTAGGATAAGTGGTCTGAAAATCACACCTGTACTTCATGTACATCTCAAACCTGTAGGATGAGTGGTCTGAAAATCACATCTGCTTCCCGTACATCTCAAACCTGTAGGATGAGTGGTCTGAAAATCACACCTACTTCTAGTACATCTCAAACCTGTAGGATGAGTTGTCTGAAAATCACACCTACTTCCACTAATCTCAAACCTGTAGGATTAGTGGTCTGAAAATCACACCTACTTCCAGTACATCTCAAACCTGTAGGATGAGTGGTCTGAAAATCACACCTACTTCTCGTACATCTCAAACCTGTAGGGGAGTGGTCTGAAAATCACACCTGCTTCCCATACATCTTAAACTTGTAGGATGAGTGGTCTGAAAATCACACCTACTTCCTGTACATCTGAAACCTGTAGTATTAATGATCTGAAAATCACACTTACTTCCTGTACATCTGAAACCTGTAGGATTAATGATCTGAAAATCACACCTACTTCCTGTACATCTCAAACCTGTAGGATAAGTGGTCTGCAAAATCACACCTACTTCCTGTACATCTCAAACCTGTAGGATAAGTGGTCTGAAAATCACACCTACTTCCTGTACATCTCAAACCTGTAGGATAAGTGGTCTGAAAATCAAACCTACTTCCTGTACATCTCAAACCTGTAGGATAAGTGGTCTGAAAATCACACCTGTACTTCATGTACATCTCAAACCTGTAGGATGAGTGGTCTGAAAATCACATCTGCTTCCCGTACATCTCAAACCTGTAGGATGAGTGGTCTGAAAATCACACCTACTTCTAGTACATCTCAAACCTGTAGGATGAGTTGTCTGAAAATCACACCTACTTCCACTAATCTCAAACCTGTAGGATTAGTGGTCTGAAAATCACACCTACTTCCAGTACATCTCAAACCTGTAGGATGAGTGGTCTGAAAATCACACCTACTTCTCGTACATCTCAAACCTGTAGGGGAGTGGTCTGAAAATCACACCTGCTTCCCATACATCTTAAACTTGTAGGATGAGTGGTCTAAAAATCACACCTACTTCCTGTACACCTCAAACCTGTAGGATGAGTGGTCTGAAAATCACACCTACTTCCTGTACATCTCAGACCTGTAGGATGAGTAGTCTGAAAATCACACCTACTTCCAGTACATCTCAAACCTGTAGGATGAGTGGTCTGAAAATAACACCTACTTCCCATACATCTCAAACCTGTAGGATGAGTGGTCTGAAAATCACACCTACTTCCAGTACATCTCAAACCTGTAGGATAAGTGGTCTGAAAATCACACCTACTTCCTGTACATCTCAAACCTGTAGGATAAGTGGTCTGAAAATCACACCTACTTCATGTACATCTCAAACCTGTAGGTAAGTGGTCTGAAAATCACATCTGCTTCCCGTACATCTCAAACCTGTAGGATGAGTGGTCTGAAAATCACACCTACTTCCAGTACATCTCAAACCTGTAGGATGAGTTGTCTGAAAATCACACCTACTTCCTGTACATCTCAAACCTGTAGGATGAGTGGTCTGAAAATCACACCTACTTCCTGAACATCTCAGACCTGTAGAATGAGTGGTCTGAAAATCACACCTACTTTCTGTACACCTCAAACCTGTAGGATGAGTGGTCTGAAAATCACACCTACTTCCAGTACATCTCAAACCTGTAGGATGAGTGGTCTGAAAATAACACCTACTTCCCATACATCTCAAACCTGTAGGATGAGTGGTCTGAAAATCACACCTACTTCCAGTACATCTCAAACCTGTAGGATGAGTGGTCTGAAAATCACACCTACTTCCTGTACATCTGAAACCTGTAGGATTAATGATCTGAAAATCACACCTACTTCCTGTACATCTCAAACCTGTAGGATTAATGATCTGAAAATCACACCTACTTCCTGTACATCTCAAACCTGTAGGATTAATGATCTGAAAATCACACCTACTTCCTGTACATCTCAAACCTGTAGGATAAGTGGTCTGAAAATCAAACCTACTTCCTGTACATCTCAAACCTGTAGGTGAGTGGTCTGAAAATCACATCTACTTCCTGTACATCTCAAACCTGTAGGATTAATGATCTGAAAATCACACCTACTTCCTGTACATCTCAAACCTGTAGGATAAGTGGTCTGCAAAATCACACCTACTTCCTGTACATCTCAAACCTGTAGGATAAGTGGTCTGAAAATCACACCTACTTCCTGTACATCTCAAACCTGTAGGATAAGTGGTCTGAAAATCAAACCTACTTCCTGTACATCTCAAACCTGTAGGATAAGTGGTCTGAAAATCACACCTACTTCATGTACATCTCAAACCTGTAGGTGAGTGGTCTGAAAATCACATCTGCTTCCCGTACATCTCAAACCTGTAGGATGAGTGGTCTGAAAATCACACCTACTTCTAGTACATCTCAAACCTGTAGGATGAGTGGTCTGAAAATCACACCTACTTCCACTAATCTCAAACCTGTAGGATTAGTGGTCTGAAAATCACACCTACTTCCAGTACATCTCAAACCTGTAGGATGAGTGGTCTGAAAATCACACCTACTTCCAGTACATCTCAAACCTGTAGGATGAGTGGTCTGAAAATCACACCTACTTCCCGTACATCTCAAACCTGTAGGGGAGTGGTCTGAAAATCACACCTGCTTCCCATACATCTCAAACCTGTAGGATGAGTGGTCTAAAAATCACACCTACTTCCTGTACACCTCAAACCTGTAGGATGAGTGGTCTGAAAATCACACCTACTTCCTGTACATCTCAGACCTGTAGGATGAGTGGTCTGAAAATCACACCTACTTCCTGTACACCTCAAACCTGTAGGATGAGTGGTCTGAAAATCACATCTACTTCCAGTACATCTCAAACCTGTAGGATGAGTGGTCTGAAAATAACACCTACTTCCCATACATCTCAAACCTGTAGGATGAGTGGTCTGAAAATCACACCTACTTCCAGTACATCTCAAACCTGTAGGATGAGTGGTCTGAAAATCACACCTACTTCCTGTACATCTGAAACCTGTAGGATTAATGATCTGAAAATCACACCTACTTCCTGTACATCTCAAACCTGTAGGATGAGTGGTCTGAAAATCACACCTACTTCCTGTACATCTCAAACCTGTAGGATAAGTGGTCTGAAAATCACACCTACTTCCTGTACATCTCAAACCTGTAGGATGAGTGGTCTGAAAATCACACCTACTTCCTGTACATCTCAAACCTGTAGGATAAGTGGTCTGAAAATCACACCTACTTCCTGTACATCTCAAACCTGTAGGATGAATGATCTGAAAATCACACCTACTTCCACTAATCTCAAACCTGTAGGATGAGTGGTCTGAAAATCACACCTACTTCCAGTACATCTCAAACCTGTAGGATGAGTGGTCTGAAAATCACACCTACTTCCTGTACATCTCAAACCTGTAGGATAAGTGGTCTGAAAATCAAACCTACTTCCTGTACATCTCAAACCTGTAGGATGAATGATCTGAAAATCACACCTACTTCCTGTACATCTCAAACCTGTAGGATAAGTGGTCTGAAAATCACACCTACTTCCTGTACATCTCAAACCTGTAGGATGAATGATCTGAAAATCACACCTACTTCTACTAATCTCAAACCTGTAGGATGAGTGGTCTGAAAATCACACCTACTTCCCGTACATCTCAAACCTGTAGAATTAATGATCTGAAAATCACACCTACTTCCCATACATCTCAAACCTGTAGGTGAGTGGTCTGAAAATCACACCTACTTTCAGTACATCTCAAACCTGTAGGATAAGTGGTCTGAAAATCACACCTACTTCCTGTACATCTCAAACCTGTAGGATGAGTGATCTGAAAATCACACGTACTTCCTGTACATCTCAAACCTGTAGGATGAGTGGTCTGAAAATCACACCTACTTCCTGTACATCTCAAACCTGTAGGATGAGCTATTTGAAAATCACAATTTATCATTAGGTATCAGTGTTAATCTGGCACCAAACCATATGGCATATTTGACTTGTTATTGAATGTGTTTGTTTTATGATTTTGTCCTTTACAGACCAAATCAGGAAGAACAGAAGAGACAGGAACTGGTGGAGGGAAAGGATTCATTCTCCATTTTCTGACATCAAAATGGACCGAAGTGTTGCGTAAGTATAAAAAACATTGTTTAAATTTCTTTTTCATTCTGAAGTAATAAATGAAGCTAAACTTTTATTAAAAATGATGGTATTGAAACTGATTAATGGATGTTAAGATGTAAGAGTTGGATCATTGTTAAAATATGACCCTTAGGTCTGTGATGGACCAATGTTTAGATGTGACCCTCAAGTCTGTGATGGACCAATGTTTAGATGTGACCCTCAGGTCTGTGATGGACCAATGTTAAGATGTGACCCTCAGGTCTGTGATGGACTGATGTTTAGATGTGACCCTCAAGTCTGCGATGGACCAATGTTTAGATGTGACCCTCAGATCTGTGATGGACAGATATTTAGATGTGACCCTCAGATCTGTGATGGACTGCTGTTTAGATGTGACCCTCAGGTCTGTGATGGACCGATGTTAAGATGTGACCCTCAGATCTGTAATGGACCATTATTTAGCTGTGACCCTCAGATCTGTGATGGACTGATGTTAAGATGTGACCCTCAGGTCTGTGATGGATTGACATAAGATTTGACCCGCAGATCTGTGATGGACTGATGTTAAGATGTGACCCTCAGATCTGTAATGGACCATTATTTAGATGTGACCCTCAGATCTGTAATGGACCATTATTTAGATGTGACCCTCAGATCTGTGATGGACAGATATTTAGATGTGACCCTCAGATCTGTGATGGACTGCTGTTTAGATGTGACCCTCAGGTCTGTGATGGACCGATGTTAAGATGTGACCCTCAGATCTGTAATGGACCATTATTTAGATGTGACCCTCAGATCTGTGATGGACTGATGTTAAGATGTGACCTTCAGGTCTGTGATGGATTGACATAAGATTTGACCCGCAGGTCTGTGATGGACTGATGTTAAGATGTGACCCTCAGATCTGTAATGGACCATTATTTAGCTGTGACCCTCAGATCTGTGATGGACTGATGTTAAGATGTGACCCTCAGGTCTGTGATGGATTGACATAAGATTTGACCCGCAGGTCTGTGATGGACTGATGTTAAGATGTGACCCTCAGGTCTGTGATGGACTGATGTTAAGATGTGACCCTCAGATCTGTGATGGACCAATATTTAGATGTGACCCTCAGATCTGTGATGGTCTGCAGTTTAGATGTGACCCTCAGTCTGTGATCGATTGATGTTAAGATGTGACCCTCAGATCAGTGATGGACTGACATAAGATTTGACCATCAGGTCTGTGATGGACTGATGTTAAGATTTGACCCTCAGGTCTGTGATGGACTGATGTTAAGATTTGACCCTCAGGTCTGTGATGGACTGCTGTTTAGATTTGACCATCAGGTCTGTGATGGACTGATATTAGGATGTGACCCTCAGATCAGTGATGGACTGACATAAGATTTGACCCTCAGATCTGTGATGGACTACCTCATTATTTTCATAAACCTGCATCTTTTGAATCCCTGTCTTACGTGTTGGAACGTCAGTTGATAATTTCTTGCACGAAAATCGTAATAATGGAAGCAGGCCCTTGAATATTGAATCAACTGTGACATGTAAATAGGGATTATGCTATCAAGAAATGGAAAATTCGCAATAGGGAAATTGAAACTGAAATCATCATGCGTATGATAAAGCTTGGTGGAAAGCTGTCCATGTTGGTTTTGTTGTAAGAAATGATTAAGATATGCAGCTGATGTAGAAAAGTCTACAGTGTCTTTGATTTCTGCTGGATATATACGATAGACGTAGTTGATAAATTTCTTGTTACTTGAAGATATGTTCTGATGTAAGCATATTCTGCTTCATCAATGACAGCTGCTATGTAAATTTTTATTTATTCCAAGTAAGTGATTTCACGTTCTCATTTGAGAACAAGATATGAAACAACAGAACCAAAAGGCAAACTAACAAGCATCAAACACGTCCAGCTTCATATCTTACAAAGAAGTAGAATATTTTCAATGGGATCACTGGAGAACTTTTGACTAAAACTTCCCGGTTATTTTTCATCAGCCTGCATCATTTGATACCTTGTGTTACAAGTTTGTCATTTCATGACTTCTTGTAGGAAAATAGTGATAAAAGGAAGAGCCCCTTGAATATTAAACCAACACCGACAAGTAAACACCACTTAATCTCGTTATTTAACGACAGGACTTCTTTAAGATATAAATTCAGCCTCATATGAAAACAAAAAGAAATCAGCCAACAGATTTGCACAGTTGATTTCTACATGTATGCCGATAGCCTTTGTTTGGAGATCTTAATACAGAGGATGTTGTCTACCAGAAACTTGATCACTTATGATTTCGTTCTTCATGTATTTCTTCATTGGTTTGGATGAAATACAATTAGTATAATTTACCACCATACATTGATACAGCTGTTCACCTTTCGTGTAATAGAAAACTCTCACGACAAGGGAACCAAGGTATTCTTTCAGTTTGGAATTGGGTTTGGTAGTGTACAGAGTTAAAAAAAACAAATTTCTTGAAGAAATGCATTTAGAAGAAGGTGTTAAAGATAGGTCAAAAGCTCTTTGGAATTCTTTTAAATCCACCTATTTATTTTGTTCTTGAGTTACAGTATTATGATAAGGCTGTAACGCAGATTTCCTAGTTCTAGGAATGTTAGTGACATAGGTTTGGTTTAACAGCTGGACTGAGCTAAAGGCCATTACACAAACATCAGTGTATAGTAGCCTGGTTTAAAGAAAAATCTGCATGTACATTTTGTATGTTTACATCGTTTATACAATTAACAAGTAAACACTTATTTTCCCCTTCTGATATGGGATATAACTCCTGAAATATATTCATAAATAATTGATTAGAACACAGGCATGAAAGCTTAAATTCACTGACACCAGGGTCACACTAGAACTATAAGGAATAACAGAGACCAAAACAGAAAACATTACCCAGAAACCACAGTATTAAATCAAGGAATAGCGGAGACCAAGACAGAAAACATTACCAAGAAACCACAGTATTAAATCAAGGAATAACGGAGACCAAGACAGAAAACATTACCAAGAAACCACAGTATTAAATCAAGGAATAGCGGAGACCAAGACAGAAAACATTACCCAGAAACCACAGTATTAAATCAAGGAATAACGGAGACCAAGACAGAAAACATTACCCAGAAACCACAGTATTAAATCAAGGAATAACGGAGACCAAGACAGAAAACATTACCCAGAAACCAGAGTATTAAATCAAGGAATAGCGGAGACCAAGACAGAAAACATTACCCAGAAACCACAGTATTAAATCAAGGAATAGCGGAGACCAAGACAGAAAACATTACCCAGAAACCACAGTATTAAATCAAGGAATAGCGGAGACCAAGACAGAAAACATTACCCAGAAACCACAGTATTAAATCAAGGAATAGCGGAGACCAAGACAGAAAACATTACCCAGAAACCACAGTATTAAATCAAGGAATAGCGGAGACCAAGACAGAAAACATTACCCAGAAACCACAGTATTAAATCAAGGAATAGCGGAGACCAAGACAGAAAACATTACCCAGAAACCACAGTATTAAATCAAGGAATAACGGAGACCAAGACAGAAAACATTACCCAGAAACCACAGTATTAAATCAAGGAATAGCGGAGACCAAAACAGAAAACATTACCCAGAAACCACAGTATTAAATCAAGGAATAACGGAGACCAAGGCAGAAAACATTACCCAGAAACCACAGTATTAAATCAAGGAATAGCGGAAACCAAGACAGAAAACATTACCCAGAAACCACAGTATTAAATCAAGGAATAACGGAGACCAAAACAGAAAACATTACCCAGAAACCACAGTATTAAATCAAGGAATAGCGGAGACCAAGACAGAAAACATTACCCAGAAACCACAGTATTAAATCAAGGAATAACGGAGACCAAAACAGAAAACATTACCCAGAAACCACAGTATTAAATCAAGGAATAGCGGAGACCAAAACAGAAAACATTACCCAGAAACCACAGTATTAAATCAAGGAATAGCGGAGACCAAGACAGAAAACATTACCCAGAAACCAGAGTATTAAATCAAGGAATAACGGAGACCAAGACAGAAAACATTACCCAGAAACCACAATATTAAATCAAGGAATAGCGGAGACCAAAACAGAAAACATTACCCAGAAACCACAGTATTAAATCAAGGAATAGCGGAGACCAAGACAGAAAACATTACCCAGAAACCACAGTATTAAATCAAGGAATAACGCAGACCAAGACAGAAAACATTACCCAGAAACCACAGTATTAAATCAAGGAATAACGGAGACCCAGACAGAAAACATTACCCAGAAACCAGAGTATTAAATCAAGGAATAGCGGAGACCAAAACAGAAAACATTACCCAGAAACCACAGTATTAAATCAAGGAATAACGGAGACCAAGACAGAAAACATTACCCAGAAACCACAGTATTAAATCAAGGAATAACGGAGACCAAGACAGAAAACATTACCCAGAAACCAGAGTATTAAATCAAGGAATAGCGGAGACCAAAACAGAAAACATTACCCAGAAACCACAGTATTAAATCAAGGAATAACGGAGACCAAGACAGAAAACATTACCCAGAAACCACAGTATTAAATCAAGGAATAAAGTAGAAAATTCAAATGAAGATAAAGAGAAGTTTTTTGTAATGGCAGGTTTTTGTTTTTCGTTATCAAAATTGGGAAATGGAGAATTCGGCAAATGAATAATAGAATTTATCCATAATAAAACGATACACGCACCTATAACGTCAAATTTGTTGTTTTTGTACATATTTTCGGTGTCGGAACATAGTTTATCTTGACTTTTGTTTATAAACATGTTCATGCTGTGTTTATTACGAAGAAAGCCGAGTGGGTCTCTTGGCTTGTCATATGACAAAGTCAATCACTTCCACCACAAAGAACAAAAATGGATTACGAGGAAAGTGTAAACAAATGCACATGTCATATGTATGACACTTGCTTTTGCGCCTTTCTGCTGATTC